TCCAGAGCAGGTTCATTGGCTTGGTCCAAAAAAAAAATGTAAATAAAGGTGAGGGTAAATGACCCACATCCTTGAAAACTTCCCCTCCTGCCCCAAAGAGCCGGAGATTTATGGCTTGGATCATTCTTTTTGCAGTTCTTTATCTTGTGTATGTGTGAGTATGTATTTTCTTTGTAATAAAAGCCACCGCCTAGGCAAATAAATTTGAAGAGACAGCTTTACTGACAGCTTTTTTCCTCCTCTGTGTAATAAAAAAAAATAGAGTGAAATTTGAGATAGGAATGGTAGCGCAGGCTGCATTTTAAGAGCAAGATAAAGGAACCATACCTGGCAGGAGGAGAAAGGCAGATGCAAGCGGAAAGGCCAACGTGCAAGTGCCTTCCTGCTTGGCTTTCTCCTCTTCTAAGCCTCTTCCCTGCCCTGAGCCCAAACACGGTGTAGAGTGTAAAACGAAGAGGGGCTGTGTCATGGAGGAATGTAATTCACAGCCGCAGGATGTTGACTCCGCAAGCTGCAGCTGGAGTTAAAACCAAAAAGCAGGGTATGGATCATTTTTAGGATGAACTTAAAATGTTTTACGAGCATTTAGTACCCAACCCTACAAGATAAGGAGAATCAAACCTCAGGCTTCAGGGCACAGTCGATTGCCTGTAGGGGTCAGGAAGGAAGTTTCCCCTCCTCTATAGCAATTGGGATTGCTAGCTGCATTATGGGAGATAGATGGGGCTGCCTTCTTCTGAAGCACCCAGCATGTGCTTGGGCTGATTCTAAAATGGAATATTACTGATGCTCTTCATCTGTGCATTGATCATAAGCATTATCGGTGCATTTATTGACCATCCAGAGCATCCGGATGACCTCCTAGCCCCTTCCTCAAATTCCCAACAAGCTTCTCCCTGTGGTTTTATTCTGTTGCTGCCTTGGTGTAGCCATCCCTTTCTGTAAACTCCTTGTCTGGAAGTGTAGTCATTGTTCCAGCCATTATGGGCACCGTCACTTTTGACCCCGATCATTTTTATTCTCCCATACGAGCTGCGGGCTGGGAGAACAGTCAGAGAAAAGGTCTGGGAGCCTGGATGGTGGTGGGCAGAGCTGTGTGAATAACGGATTGCTTTGTTCTGAAAAATCAAAAACCAAGATTAGTTTTGGGTTGACCCCACCCAACATTTCTTTGGAATTTTCAGTGAACCAAAAAGTTGGGGGGTGGGGAGGCGGGAGATTTCATGTCAAAAGAAATGTTTCATTTGACCTAAAACAAAATGTTTCATTTCATTTTTTGAGCTTTTTTTTTCTCTCTCTCTTTTTTCCAATGGAATTGAAGTAAATACTGAAAAGAAATGTTTTGAATTGAATTTTTTTCAGGGGGGGTTTCTGACAAACAATTTGACACAAATCTGCAAAATGTGTTGGTTGAACTAAATCTGCATTTTTGGGGGGGGGGAGTTCCAGCCAGAATAGGCTGCCCCGCTCCAGCGTTGGATTCTAAATCAACCTGAGCCACTGTCAATCAACTCCAGGAAGTCATAAACCTCCCTGCAAGGCAAATGCTGCCCACCATCGGAGCTGAATTACAGACCGCAGACCTGCCACTGTTTGCTATGCAGCCTTTGCACAATTCAGAGCGAAACATATTTGCCACGCAGGCAAAGCCCTTGGTGCAAAATGCCTTGAGGCAGCATAGCCGGACTCCCAACACCGCTCAGTGGCAGTAGCTTTGTATTTACAATGTCGTTCTCTGTGATGTACATGGCTGACTCCTTCTCCCGTGTATTTGCAAAGTGCTGCTCCTGGATTTTATTGGCTCCATTTGTGCAAGCAATTCCCATATAAGCTGCTGAATGACTCTGAAATAGCTTCGAGGTGCCAGGAGCGCTTTATTCCCTTAGCACGTTTACTCCTTTGTTTGAAATAGATATGAGCCCGACATGCACCATTTGGATCCAGATCTAGGCCTTGAACAGCGCAGCATCCAGGAGCTGCAAGTTGATTTGGCCCGTTTTAGAGATGAACACCTGTTGCGAAATTCATATCGGGGATGTGGATTCCAAATGGAGCGGACCCGAATCTGGATTCCTGATATTCACACAGTGTTCGGCTCTCAGGTCCTAATTTTCAGATGGGCTAAGTGAGAAATACAAGCTCTAAGGGGAAATGGAAGAGCTAGTTAAAGCTTTAGTGGAATTTTAAAGTCCTGTAGTGGACGTTTCACGAGTAGGCCCGTTAGTGCATCTTGCTGACTCGCTGAGACGTACGGAAAGGAGTCGCATACGCAACAGACCCTCTTTGTGTTTAAAGGACATAGATCCACCTTTTAGTCGCAGCAGCATTGGGTTCATGCACCGCAAATCTCTCCTTGCCCATGGCGAGCTAGGGTCCCCATTGCTTGCTGAGCCACAGGACGCATGGACTTTCTCTCCCCTCTGTTTCATCCTTGCCCCTTCCCTCTCCTAACACAAGAACTAGGGGTCACCATATGAAATGAATAGGCAGCAGGTTTAAGACAAACAGAAGGAGGTATTTCTTCACGCAACGCACAGTCAACCTGTGGAACTCTTTGCTAGAGGATGTTGTGAAGACCAAGACTATAACAGGGTTAAAAATGGACTAGATAAATTTGTGCTATTAGCTAGGATGGACAGGGATGGTCTCCGTAGCCTCTGTTTGCCAGAAGCTGGGAATGGGCGACAGGGGATGGATCACTTGATGATTCCCTGTTCTATTCATTCCCTCTGGGGCACCTGGCATTGGCCACTGTTGGAAGACAGGATACTGGGCTAGATGGACCATTGGTGTGACCCAGTTTGGCTGCTCTTATGTTCTCGTCGTAGCCGGTGATCTAGGTGGGGTGACAGCCAGTGGGGACAGTGGCTACAAGAGGAAGAGAAAATCAGGGAGCTCCTTTGTTGTGCCCCCCACTCAGGGTAACATTTTGACCCAGAGCTGCTACTCAAGAGGCACCATCCCCATCCCCATCCAGCCAGGTCCCTTGCAGAGTGTTCAGGGTTCGATTTTTATCAGGAAGCTGCTGAGACAAGCGGTAAAATGCAGCCACACGGCGGGCTAAGTCACACAGCCCTGCTGCTCAGGAAGGCTTTGAAAGCCCTGGCCTGTTTCTTACGGCACTCGCACGGCGCAGGTGAGCTCCTGGACCCTCCGGCAGTCTGCGGGAATTGTAGCCCCACTGCCAGACCTCAAAAGCCAACTGCGTGAATAGTGGATCAAAGTTTCTTTCTTTTATTTTATCCTCCCCTCTGGATTATTTTTTGTTCTCTTTCTCTCCCATTTACTTTTTTAAAAACTTTGTACTAATTTGTTTTTGAACAGCCTTAAACACAAAAAGTCGAAGTATGTGTGTTGGATGAGGGGGGGGGCGCGTTATAAATCTCGAAGCTTTACAGAGAATGGGGGGGGGGGGGGGGGGACGGAGACGACAGGGCAACTTAATCCCCACCCGCCTTTTACAATAAGATTCCTTTAACGAGAAAATCAGACCAGCCGGCTGGAGATAGGAGTCAGAGAAAATGAAGCCAGAGAAAAGGCCCCCGCTCTTGTGATGGGATAGCAGGGAGCTTTGCAGAGATAACAGCCTAGCAGATGAGAGTGGGACGGGTTTGTTTTTTTAATGGTTTGTGGGAAAAGGAAATAAAAATTTAAAAGCGGACAGAAAAGATGAAGGGGGGGCGGAGGGAGACACCTTCAAGGACCTCTCGAGGTCCCTTCCAGTCCTAGAATCTATGAATCTATAAGGTTTTCACCTTTTCTGTCTTCTAGCTAAGGTCCTTATCTAGCCCGCATGACAAGAGCATCTGAGCCCCTCACAATCTCTAACAGAGTCAGTGTACCAACACCCCTGGGTGGCAGAGAAGTGCAGTTATCCCCATACTATGGTGGGGCACTGAGGCCCAGAGAGACTTACCCACGGTCACCCAGGGCGTCTGTGGCTGTGCTGGCAATTGGACTCAGGTGTCCTAAAAGTGAGGCTACTACGCTAACCATTGGACCATCCGTCCTTCTCTGGGAGGAGCTGGGCATTGGGTAGGGCTCAGTAATGGTGGTCTACGGTTTGGGGGATTGTGTGAGGAGGTAGATTAGTTTGTGTTACGTTTCTGTTCCAGATAGGTTATTCCATTGGATCTCGGGGTAACTGACATGTCTGTCTGTCTGAGGGCACCTGGAGCATTGGATGGGTGCTCTTCTCTTGTGATTTATAAAACATGTGATAGACAATTACTGGAGACAGGTCCGGTACCAAACTCCTGGATCTAAACACCCTCAAACTCTGGTCTCTATCACTGTAACAGGTTGGCCAACCCTTCTGGATTGGAACCCCTCTACACTTGGTAGTTTGGGCCAGTGTCTGATCATAAGAGGAAGAAGCTCTGCCCTCCTCCACACAGTCAGATTTTGGAAGGAGATCTGGGTTGGCAGGAGATTGTGGGTTTGCTGGCAGCTGTGCTTTACTATCAGCGAGCACTGCCAGGGACTCAGAGGCAGCATGGGGCGGATGGTGTGGGGCTCGCGAGCTACGGGAACTAGCCCAATGAGCCGCATGGTGGTCTATTTTCTGTGGAACTTTCACTGACCAACAGAGGTCACTTCCATTCATTGTGAAGGAGGAGGCTCCAGGTCTTTCTTCTCCACCTGGGAAAAGCCCATGGCCCCATGCAGAACTGTGTGCTGGGGAAACATACGTTTTTGTTACACAGGGATTTGAGCTAGACCGGTCTCTTTGTCCCTGTAGGGATCATGGTTGACAAATAAAAAAGCCACCCCTACTTTAGCCTGAAAGCTTGTGCATCAAACGTAGAGATGGAGCCAAATGGAGACTCCAGATCTGAACACCTCATAAACTCTGAGGGAGTTTGGCTCTGAACTTGGTAGCTTGGACCCATCTCTGAATCAAATGCTGGTCCAGTAAGATGTACAATGCTGCTGATCTGTCTGCCCATTTAGGACAAGCCCAGCTATCAAATTCTTATACACGTGTGTGTCCTTGGCAGGTAACAGATGGTGGTACCATCAAACAGAAGATCTTCACCTTTGATGCCATGTTCTCCACCAACTACTCGCACATGGAGAATTATCGCAAGAGAGAGGACTTGGTGTACCAGTCAACAGTGCGGTAAGCAATTGCACCTCCATTGAAGAGGGTGCTCTGAACTTTCCTAAGTTATATGAGATCGCAATTTCAGAGGAATCTACTGGGTTAAAACATTGTGTGTGGGGGTGAAGGGAGGGGGAGATTGTGTCTTCATCCTGGTCTGAACTGTACAAACCTACCATGAGGCAAAGCATGCACAGACCACTCATTTTTAGGACAATTGGGACATATATATTGTACTCTCTGTGATGTATTTACTCTCTTTGCCCAGTGCTGATACAGACAGCTAACATCCAGCAAGTGTAGGCTATAATCCAGAGGTGTGGAACAGGAAACACCTGAATCATTTCCAGAGATGGGTCCAAGCTGCTGTCGTTGACTGAGATCTGGATAGAAATGCCTCCAAAGTCTAGGGGGGTTCAGAACCCTAATTCCAATCCAGACAACCTAATAGAGACCCAGCACCCCCAAATATTGATGCAATACCTGACACACATTCAATAGAAGTAGCAGAAGTAGGCATTGTCCCAGATACTCAATACTTGGGTCTAACTGATTGTCAGACGTGGGGGCAGGAAGGAATTTCCCTCTAGGTCAGATTGGCAAGAACCATGGGGTTTCCTTGCCTTCCTCTGCAGTGTGGGGTGCAGGTCACTTGCTCGGATCATCTGGGTGTTTCTCACTTTATCAATGCTCCGTCATTGCAGGGACCTCAGGCACTGGTGCACCTCAGTCCCTCCTGTTCTCTGCCTGTGGCACACAACTGTTGAATCTCCTGAGGGCTGCAATACTTTGGTCTCATTCTGGTTGTGGGGCATGAGGTGGGGGTGGCTGGGTGGTGATGGCCTGTGATTTGTAGGAGGTCAGACTAGAGGGTCTGGTGTGGTCCCTTCTGGCCTTCAACTCTATGACTCTGGCCTAGATTCACAAAAGTATTTACATATCTAAACCCCAGACTTACGCACTTATGTCTGGGTTTAAGCACCTAAGTCCCGGGTTTAGGCTCCCACTGCGATTCACAAAACTACCGCCAAACCCTGTAGGCTCCTAAATTCACTCAACACCTATGTTATTGCTGTAAAAGTTCCCTCGGTGCCACTGTTTCTGCCTCTGACCACCTGCACTGCTGCTGCCTTCTAGGCACCTGTCTCCTGCCTTAGCCCCAGAGCGATTTGCGAGCCAGGGAAGGTAGGCCTAACTCACATGCGAGGTACTGGGGCCCGATCGGGTCGGTGCCCTCTGAGCATGCCGACCAGCTCGGGCCCCTCAGGACTTCACACAGAACCGCCGGGGTAGAGGGGACAGGAGGAGCTCCCTCATAGCCTTTAGCCCAGTGGTCAGGGCACTCTCCTGGGACGTGAGAGCCCCTGGTTCAAGTCCCCTCCACCGAGAGGCAGAAGGGATCACCTACCTCTCAGGTGAGTGCTCTTATGACAGGGCTATGGGATATCCCAGTGCAGGGCTCCCTCTGTCTCTCTACTGCCGTTGTCCCACTGTCAATAAATCATTATAGAGTTGTTTGTGCCAGAGAGATAACGAGTGAGAGAGCACAGGCCTGGCAGTGACTGTAGCCTAGCGGCCTAATGCAAGAGAGGGTTCGCAGCTGACAATCGCTAGCAGAGCTAGGCGCCTATCTCCGTGAGAGGGGCAGGACTTAACATACACCCCTCTGGTCAGCCTCTCCCGTTGGCTAGCCCAGGCATGCTGGCGTTTGTGAACCACCGTCAAAGGCGTCATCTCTCCCCATTCGGCGTCTCCCTCAGGCTTCGTGAATCCCGGTGTGTGCCTGTGATTTTCTAGGTGCCTATAAGTTAGTTGTGAGGCTCAGCATCACAACACCTAACTCCTGTTGTGCATCCAGGCCTCTCTAACGGGTCGATACCTGCTTGAAAGGAATGCGGGTGACTGGAAGCTTTAGCCAGGACTCAATGGCTCCACCGAGCGAGAGGTGCTGGCGTCGGACACAAACGCTGTTGTTTGTCCATCCCCTTTATTAAGCCCGTGAGCTGAACAGTGAGGCTTTCGTACCCTGAGTTGCTGAAACAATTTGCTGGTCAATAGTTGAACGGCTGGGCACTGCCTGCTCTGTCCGGTGACAGGCTGCAGCATTTAGGATCCTTCCCACAAAGATATATAGCAGAGCCCAGGTGAGAGGATTTGGCAGCTGGGCAGAGGAGACAGGCAAGATCCTGACGGGCAGCAACCTCATCCACGTTGATGCAACCTCCCTGATCACCCGTGGGCCTCGCTTCTTCCTCACTGGGACCCTATCCTGGAATCTAGCCCCCCCCGCCTCCCCCCCTCGGAAAGATGAAGTTTGAGCCCCCAGTGAATTTTCACTCCCAGTGAAATTCTGCCTGCTGCAGAAAGCGGTGGGCTCTGGAGCATTCCAGGTACCATTTCAGAGCCCTAAGGAAGGCACCCGAGCCTGGTCTGGATGCACCTAGGCCTCAACTCCATATTTTGAGGTGTACAGGGCCATTAACCAACACTTGGACAGTTTAATGGGTGGGGCCCCCATATACAGTTGTGGGCTTCCCATACGTCTAGAGTCAGCCATGGCCTGGGTCACCCTGAGGCAGCAGAGGGCCCTCCAGTACCTAAGAGGCCTCGGAGACTGGGATTAAGGTTCCGTAAAACATGACTGTGTCTGTATGAAGTCTGAGATGGGCCGTTCCATTCTCCAGCAAAGTTCCGTTCTGTTTGTTGCTCGTCCCCAAGGCCATGATCACAGTGTGAACTCCACCCTCTGAGGCCCGGGATGGAATCTCATGAGTTTGTGTTGGCCTCCTGGGGCCCGATTCTTCACTGCCCAGCCCCTTGCATGGTCACTTACAGCAGTGCCCTGGGGCTGGGATGTTACTGGGTCTGATCGGTAGCATTCTGCACTCAGGTGGCCGGGAATTTGAGGCTCGTACCCAGGGCATCTCCTCTCTGGAGCCCATGTCGAGCATGTTAATGTCTCCAAGGACTGCAACTGAAATCAGGACGCTCAGTCACTCTGACCTATTCTGTGCCCGTTCCACTGTCATCACCTGGAGAACCCCTAAGGAAGAGGCATATTGGAAGCCAATCAAAGCGCAAAGCATGGCCAACGAGCCAACCGTGCGTTGTAAATCATGACGTTCATCCTCGTGACAAAGACCGTGATGAGCCGGAGCGAGAATGTCACCTGTTCTCTACTGCCTTGCCAGTTGCTTTGTAGCACCTCCTGTCTTCCTCTCTTTCTCTGCATTGTCTCTCCTGACCCAGTTCTGAATATCTGCCGATCTTTGCAAAGGCAGATATTGGAAACTTGGATGCTAGTACTTCGTCTCATGACAGCTGAAAGTGTGCGAGGCTGCTTTTTAGTGAAACGAGAGCAGCTGCTTTTGATGGACATGTCAAGACGTGAAATGTTGGTACAATGGTTCTTTCCTACCTGCGCTCATCCAAAGAGCAGGGGGGAGGGAGGCGTTCGAGAGGAAGAAAGCTTTTAAACTAAAATTAAGGGAAGGGAGAGGGGGGAGGAAGCCAACAACCCAGCCGTTATACGATGAGGAATCAAGTTGGAGGCAAGGGCTGCTGGTGCTTTTGCTAGATTGGCGACAGGACTTCAGGGGTAAGAACGCCACATTTACATATAAATGAAGATATTTACAAATTAATGCATTTCAAGCAAGAGAAAAATCCCGGCATCACAGCTGTCAACGCTTCATCCCCTCTTGCAGTGGGAGAGGGAGAGAACGAGGCGAGGAAGATTACCAAAACGCATGACAGCAGGAACGGTGCAATTTTCAGAGGCAAGACGGGGGAGAACTGTGCTTACTTTGCTAGCTTCTCCCTGCCCTTAGCCCTTTGGGGCAGGAAAGACAGGGCCATTTAAAGGCAGAAAGAGCATCCAGCCATCCAGTATAGCCTGAGCATCTCCCTGGAAATTAGAGATGGGTTGAGGAGCTTGGTACTCGAACCACATGTGATTGGGCCACAAAATGGCAAATGAAATGTAATGTGGATAAATGTAAAGTAATGTACATTGGAAAAAATAACCCCAACTATACATACAATATGATGGGGGCTAATTTAGCTACAACGAATCAGGAAAGAGATCTTGGAGTCATCGTGGATAGTTCTCTGAAGACGTCCACGCAGTGTGCAGAGGCGGTCAAAAGAGCAAACAGGATGTTAGGAATCATTAAAAAGGGGATGGAGAATAAGAAGGAGAATATATTATTGCCCTTATATAAATCGATGGTACGCCCACATCTTGAATACTCCATACAGATGTGGTCTCCTCCTCTCAAAAAAGATATACGGGCACTAGAAAAGGTTCAGAGAAGGGCAACTAAAATGTTTAGGGGTTTGGAACGGGTCCCATATGAGGACAGATTAAAGAGGCTAGGACTTTTCAGCTTGGAAAAGAGGAGACTAAGGGGGGATATGATAGAGGTCTATAAAATCATGAGTGATGTGGAGAAAGTAGATAAGCAAAAGTTATGTACTTATTCCCATAATACAAGAACTAGGGATCACCAAATGAAATTAATAGGCAGCAGGTTTAAAACAAATAAAAGGAAGTTCTTCTTCATACAGCGCACAGTCAACTTGTGGAACTCCTTGCCTGAGGAGGTTGTGAAGGCTAGGACTATAACAGCGTTTAAAAGAGAACTGGATAAATTCATGGAGGTTAAGTCCATTAATGGCTATTAGGGTAAGGAATGGTGTCCCTAGCCTCTGTTTGTCAGAGGGTGGAGATGGATGGCAGGAGAGAGATCACTTGATCATTACCTGTTAGGTTCATTCCCTCTGGGGCACCTGGCATTGGCCACTGTCGGTAGACAGGATACTGGGCTAGATGGACCTTTGGTCTGACCCAGTACGGCCGTTCTTATGTAATGTAGACAGAATCCCCATCCTTCCTGCATAAAATTGTCCGATGAGCTCCTCCTGTTTGTTTCTCCTTTGCCTGTTTGTCCTGTATTTTCAGGTAGCCTTTTGGGTCCAGAGCTGCTTCTTCACTTAGCTATGATGATCTAGGCTAG